CGGGCCAGTCGCGAAGTCGCTCCCAACCCCCTGGGGGTAGCGGAGGGGCGGCTGATGGACAGCCTCCTGCGCCTTTGACAGCCGGACCTACAGCCAGCCCGTTTCATCATAGGGACGCACGAGAAGGATGCAAGGGCCTTGGAGGGCCATTTCGAGGCTGTTCGAACGGGCGCGGCCAGCGAAAGTGGCCAAGGATGGACCGAGGAGGCAAGGACGCAAGGGTACCCTTGGGAAGTTTGCGCATCATTACTATGCGGGTTGACTGTAGGCAGAATAACATCCTTCAAATATCCGCTGGCCCGACAGCAGAGCCTTCACAGGTACACTCCCAGTGCACAAGCACACATTCAACAAGCACGAATAACAGTAGGATACCAGAACATCCTTCAAGAGCGAAAGATCCTCCGCCAGCCGAACTGAAGAACCTTCGAACGTACCCTCCCCATGCTCAATGACACATCCAACAAGCACGAAGAACCTTAGGGCACCCTCCTCGAACTGACATCGATCTTGTATCTGGGTCCGACCAAATGCTGACTTCTGCAAACCCCGACCGTGCCCTCAATCTCGGCGGCCGGCGAGAAGGGGAAACTCGAGGGAGCAGGCCTTCGCAGACGGCGGCGACGCTGCTCAGAAGGCCTCTGGCCTTCTGAGAGGTGTTTTGTGTCTTCGGGAAGGCTTAGAATCAGGTCGGGCACGTCCTCCGACAAGCGCCATCCGAAAGACAAGAAAAAAGATAGCAGATGCTCACACATAGCCGAAAACAATGCAAACATCGTTCCCGGACTATTTCCTGACTCTTCTTATATTTCTTCCTGTGGAGGGGCATGCCCGACTCTTAGAGAACTTCACGGAAGGCCGGAGGCCTTCCGAGCCTTCTGCGAAAGCCCGCCATCTCTGCTTTCCGCCTGGGCTCTCTCGCCGCCGAAGCACCCTCCGTGCCCCCGGTTGGACGTGGGCAGCCTGCGACGCGATGTGTCCATCTGTCGACTGGCCGCCATCACCAGTAGTCAAAAATCCACCCCCGTAACCACCCCGACACGCGGAGTCGTTCAGTGAACGCGCCCAGAGAAGGAATCGAGTAGGGCAGGGCCGTTTCGTAACGCCAATTGTCGGGTCCGGGTGGTTTTTCCTCCCGTGATTCAGGTGGCCACATGTGAGCCCTACCCCCACCCCCCCCCGATTTCTAAGGGTAGGTGGGGGTTGGCTCCGCTCGGGGCCTCCCGAGCGAAGTGAACACGTCCCCCAGAACTCGTGGGGGTGGGGGTAGAGCTCACATGTGGCCGCCGAGACTTACTGCCCCCCCTCTGGCGACGCAAAACGCCCGCATGGAATCGGGGGCAGGGGCGCGCGGAAGTCCGCGCCGGCACGGCACTGGTCACTGCGCTGGTGGTGCGGGCGGCGCAGGCTCCTGTCCAGCCACCAGACGGGAAGGGGCATCGGCCCCTCGTGCCTCCCAAATCCGTGTCAGCCACACGGGGGATTGGCGAACCCCCGCCACCTCTCCTCCGACGAAGCAACCTCGTCGCGACGTGGGCCCGCAGGGGACTTCGGCCTCTTCCGTCAGGGCCCGCCGTCCGTCCAGAGCCGTGTCTTGACGGCCCCAGGCCGCGGCACGTCTGCGCCGCCTGGGTCCAGGAGGGGGCAGCACCCATCCCCCTTCGGGGAGGCGCAAGACGCAAGACTCGCGCATGGGAGACTCAGGTTTGGCCTGACGGGGCCGTCCAGAAAAGGACGGGACTCCGTCTGAAAGATGACGCGAGCTCCCGCTGCAGACGTCTCACGAAAACTGGACCGTCAAAATTCAGGACCGGCCCGGCAGGAAGGATCGACAGACCCAAGCTCCGGCTAGCTCCAGCCAGACGTCTCCCCGACCCCTCCCCTGAGAGCCGACGTTGCAGACGACAGGCAACCCCGCCAGAGCACATGACCGGAGCCCCAGACCCCATCTTCCTGCGCCACTTCTCGAGCAAGATCCGCCTGGGAGGATCATCTGGGGCCCGAAGCCAGCCGAACACGCCCGCTGTGAACACGAATTGCAACGCTCAAATCTAGAGGCCTCCTAGATGGGGTTGAAGTAGATGGGGTCGGAGGATCGCGATGCACCGGCGATGCATCGACGACGTCAGCGATGCATTGGCGACGTCGACGTGAAGCACGTCGGGCTGCGCATCGGCGATGCATCGGCGATGCATCGGCGATGCGGCGCGATCCTCCGATCCCATCTACTCCGACCCTAGTTAGGAGGCCCAGAAAATCTGAGGGCCCCTCGCGAGGACCCGGGGCACCTCTTCATGCAGGTCACCGGCTCGCCCTGGAAGTCTGCCAGCGCCGCCTCGCCTCGCAAGAACGCGCAAAGGAGTGACCCTCTGGGGCAGGAAGGACCTCTGGAACGCGCGGCCTTGGGCCGCCAAGGAGGGCCTTGTCCGAGCACGCAGGCCAAGGCGGAGGCCACCCCTGTGGGCCAACACCAAGCCCAGACCCCCGACGCCGTGATCTTTTCAACGACGTGCCCCCTCAAGAGTCTGGACCCCTTCCCGGGGACAGGTTCTTCTTCCTGAGTCGTTTTCGGACGGCCCCGCGAGGCCCTGCCGGGGCCCCCGGAGGCCGAAAGAGGCGACACGCCTCCCGCCGTGATGCGCCATGACCCAGAGGGGGGGCTCTGCGGTGGTGAATCCCGCCCCTTCCCTTTTCGAGAGCCTGATCCCTCCCCCCCCCCAAGAGGAGGCGGAGGAGGAGGAGGAGGACGAGGAGGACGAGGAGGAGGAGAGGGAGGACGAGGAGGAGGAGGAGGAGAGGGAGGACGAGGAGGAGGAGAGGGAGGCGGGGAAGCCGCTGCGGCGCAGGGCCGCTCTTGCGCGCCGCCGATCGCCCCCGGCCGCCGCCAGCAGCGCCGCGGCCGCGCCCGCGGCCGCCCCGCGGCGCCCCGTCGGCGGGGCGGCCGCGAGGAAGGCGCCCGGCGCGGGGGCCGCGAGGGCCGCGAGGCACGCGGCCGCGAGGGCGTAGGCGCCCGCGCAGGCGGCGCACAGCGGCAGGAGCCGGGCCATCGCGGGCGGCAGGATCGGGCGGAGAGGTCGGCGGGGCGTGCGGCCCAGACCCCCTCTGGAGCCTGGAAGGATCCGTCCCAGACATGCTCGCGTCTCAGACGAGAAATCAGGGCGGGAGGTCTTGGGCAAGCCTCGGCCTCGGGGGGCCCTCGCCGGGCCCCGCGGGGGCGTCAGAGAAGGACCCGGGATGAGGAGCCGGTCCCGGGGAAAGGGTCGGGACTTCCAGGGGCCCCGTATGGAAAAAATCAGGACGTCGCATGTTTGGGATCACGACAGAAAATGTTTCCTGGTTTCGGCCTCTGGGAGCCCTTACCGGACCTCGGGGCCGTCAGACTCGACTCTGGATGAAAAACCGGTCCTGGGGAATGGGTCGAGACCTCTGGGGTTCGACGTTGTGGACGGAAAAAAAAAACATGACGTCGGGGGTCTGGGGACGGAGGCAGAAGGGTGCCAGGGCCAAAGCGGCTGACGGAATGGAGAGGGAAGACGAGAACTGTCAAGACAAGACCACAGAAAGGCCAACCGCGATAAGCCCAATGCCCTGTGAACCGCCGAAGTTTGGTGGGCCAGGGTTAGGTTTCTTGTTCAGCGGCTGCCAGCGAAGAAACTCAGGGCACCCTGAACCAGGCGGTAGATCGATGGCTCGCGCAAAGAGCATCTCAGCGTCAACACACTCAGGACACCCTGCCGGCTGCGGCTTCTTCGCGACCGCTGCAAGCCTTCACTCCGAAAACAAACCAAAACAACCCAGGGCACCCTGGCAAAATGCATGGTGTTCCTTGGCATGGACTCCCACTGTATCAACGACGCGATGCCGTGGGGACCCCATCAGCGTGTTACTCTTGAAGAAACAAGGCCTGCGGACAAAACCGCATAAGTAGCACGCTGACAGGCTCCCAAAATCGGCGTGCCATTGACAATGTTGTTCCCTTCCGAAGGAAGGGACCCAAGGGATCCGGGCGTCGTAACGGCTGACTGACGGCAAGATGAGTCAGCATCGAGTCGGTAAAACGTAACTATCGGATCGGAACGCGCGTCGGATCGTGCCGAATCGGCGTGGGGTCGAGAACGGTTCAAATCGGCTGCGTCAAGGCGCGCAATAGCGTCATGCGAACATATAGGGCCACATCGGATCCCTGGGAAATTGAAATCGGATCAGGCCAGGCTGGCCGGAATCGATCGGAGGTTGGGGGGTGAGATCGCAGTGAAACGGAGACTCCCCACCAGGAAATCGGTTTCGGTTTCGTGGTCGTGTCGCGCGTGCGGGCGAGGCGAAGCTGCGCGTAATCCTCCTGTATAGCTATGCCGAAGTAGGAGCGAAAATCTGTTCCCGTCCGCCGGTGGCTGGGAATTTGGCCGGGCGGTGTCCCGGGTGTCCCGGGTGTCAGTAGGAGCGAAAGTCCGTTTCCCGTCCGCCAAAGTCCGGGAGGTGTCCCAGTTGGGCTGGGCGGTGTCCCGGGCGTCCCGGGCGTCCCGGCGCTAACGCACGTTGCTAATTTCATAAGTCATGTCGGCGCCTGCGGCGGGCTTTCTTCTTATTCAATCCAGCTTATCTTATCCAATCCATCTTGTCCAATCCAATACATCTTATCTTATCCAACCCATATTGTCCCATCTTATCTTATCCCACCCAATCCAATCCACCCAACCCAATCCATCAATTCATGTGTTTCTGCGCCTGCGGCGGGCCAATCCAATCCATCTTATCTTATACAATCCATTTCTTCCAATCCAACCCATCTTATCTTATCCAATCCATCTTATCCCATCCAATCCAATCCATCCAACCAAATCCAGTGAGAGAGAGAGAGGGCAAAAGAAAGAGAGAGAGAGAGAGAGACAGAGAGAAATAGAGAGATGAGATCAAGGTGACAGGCTTGAGGTCAGTCAGGGTGGGCATTTGATCTCAATCCCCCCCAACCTCCTTATCGCCCGCAGGGCGGTCGTATAGGT